CGCACCACAGAGACCGAGGGAGACGGACAGGGTTTAAAGAGGAGGAACGGGGAAATACTCATGCTGCAAAGATGAAGTGGGACTTGGTGAGATGAAAGGAAAGTGTGAACGCCAAAGAAAACTGGTGCTAAGTTTCATGATCTCATTGCAGTGTGCTTATGAACCCTGTGTAAAACACACAGGCTGAGAGGAGAATATTGCTCTGGGGCAAAAACGAGAAGAATATATTCAAAAGAAAGGTGAATGAGCAGAATTGGATGATTTTAGGGACGTGAACCTGACAAAAACACCATCAAAATCGAAAGAAGAAGTTATAAGACGAGAGCAGAATATATCTGAATATTTAAATGAAAAGGAGTTAGGAAACAATATAACCAACAGGGCCCATGATACTCATTCCTCAGGTTCATACTACTTTATGCCTCTGACATGTCTTCAGTCTTTCAATGTTCAAAAAGCTCTTTATTGTTCTCTTACCTGCCTGTGCTGATGCGCACCTCTTTTCACCCTCTGTCTGAAACCAGAGCCCAGTCTGCTCCGATTGGTTAGCTGGCCAGCTCTGTTGTGACTGGTCAACTGCTTAGGAATGTCACGCCCCTTTGCCTATCACGTACAATGTTTTGGAGCCAAGCCAATAGCAGCGCGAGTGTTATGTCACTCAACAAAGAATACAATGGAGGTGCTTCAGGGAACACAGGGATTTTGGCCTTTGCAGACCCAATTATGGCGCATTTACACTGCAGGCCTCGCTCGGCCTCACTCGGTTTGGTTAGGTCCTTATTAGGCCCGGCTCACTTTAATGCTGCGCTCACATTACAGTTTAGGAACTGGGGTAGTATCTATAGTAACGCAGTGTAGGCGGAGCCGTGACGTCATCTTCAATGAGCGCCCCAGAAAAACAACACAACCGTTAGCTCTTAGCACTCAGAGCTCACAGCTCTTCATATCTGTTCAGAAACTAGACAAAAGTTAAACAAGTACAAACCACAGACTGCCTGTGTCATGGCGAATACAGTCGCTGGTTTATTTATGTCTGTATAGACCGTTGTTGTGAGTGTGGACGGTCGGAGCATATATAACGTTAGCTTAGTCAAGCTCCATTTAGAAAACACGCATTTAAAAAGGTTTTTCGCCTGCCGTCTGTCTGCAGACTTGTCAAAGCATTAATTCATGGTTTTTACTAACCGGTATCAGTATGTTGTTACTTCGGCATCATTTTGAAACGTGTATTACAATTAAATCACGGTAAAATATGTTCATCTTGTTGTAATTGTAGCCCCCTTGACAGCGATTCTCTCTCAAGTTTAGCAAACTCAGCCCGACTCAGCGCTGTTTGTTGGCCTCGATAGAACCACGATTTAGTCGGGCCAGAAAAAAGGTGAAAAAGTAGCCCCGGGCCGGAACTAGGCCAAGTGTAAGCGCAACCAAAAACAGGCCCCGCACGGCTCGGCACGCTTAAAGCGAGCTCCGCGCTGTAGTGTGAATGCGCCATAAGTAACAGAATCAAACAGAGAAACACAGGACACAAAATGCTCATTAAAACAATTTAACATGGTGGCCCTTTCCGATATCGTGCCAGATGCTGTGGTACGGCACGGAGGTAGCTCATTACAGATTTCACCGGTGGATATGGATTTAATGGCTTTCCAAAATGTTCTAGGATTATTCAGGTTCTTTGTAGTAACTGACAGAAAATACGACTTAGCCCTTTTGATTTGCGATATGAAGCTATTTGTGATTTTCACCTCAGGTTTGGACCTTAAAATACACAGCCCAAGCACCTCTTATTTGACCTGAGACATTATTGTTTCGTAGAGCTTATGTCTTGTTCTTTTGGGTTTGTGAACCTTAAAGATGACTGCACCTGATTAGCCTTGAACCCACAACCTGCAGTCTCACAGCCAGTCTTCTATCCCTCCGAGCCATCTAACCTGAGAGATGAACCTTTCATTTGGTAAATTCATTCTCAACTTTGGGTTGGAGATTTTGAAATCTCCTGCGCCTCAGGAGGATCGAACCCAAGACTTCAGCTTACCTGAGCAGTGTTGTATCACTCTGAATGTTTGCACTATGACTTGTTTTTTTCACATTTTCTTTTTTTGACAAAATATAGCAAACACCAACAATAGCTCAGAGTATGTCCTACAATTGCGCCACGAACACCTTCATGTACAAACTTTTCTTTCTAAAAAAACTCATTTTTATATGAGGGGGAGGACCCTTATCCAAAAATATATGTTTAAACTATCCTCCCCTGGCTATAACTAAGCTTACAGTTCCAGTTTTGTAATAATTACATGCATATGCACTTATTTCATTTATCTATTTTGACCTGTTTTTATTTTGCACACAATCGAACACGGGCGCCTAAGTGCCGAGGAACAAACCCTTGCGCCAACGGCAACCACACAAGTACGAAATGAGCTCTTGGTGTCATCTTCATTTTTAGGTTGTTGGACTTTAAGTCACTGCTCCTCAGAAGACTTGAACTCACAACCTGAAGTCTTCAGACCTGTGTCTCATCTCCCATCTGACCGGACGTGTTATGGAAAGGTTTTTCGTCGTGCTAACTAGTAAAATCCTCTTTTCATATAAAGGGGGGACCCTTATGTAAAGACATTTGTTCAGGACATATCTAACTTTTTCAAAAATATAAATTAGAAGAGAGACATTGTATTTGTATTGTTATATTATTATAACACTGAGCAGTGTTGTATCTCTCTGAGCTATTGTGTTAATATAAGGCGGACCCTTATCTTAAAAAAAACAACTATTTAATTTTTTATATATATATCAAAAACTTTAGGAAAAAACATTATTTTTCCTCCTATATTTCAAATATATTGATGAAATTAATAACATTGTATAACTAAAAAAGTAATATAGTAATGTTGAAATATAAGTATGTGGAAAAATGCCACAGAAAAAAACATGTCAAAAAAGTAATTCTTTACCCAATGCTCACACTATTACAAACCTCTGCTGGCACCCCCAGGACTGTTTGGGAATAGCAGTCAAACCTCAGTCAAGAAGAACAAATGAACAGCCTTTCCCTTAAATGGCTGATAAAACTCCAACCACTCTCACATATTCAAACATAAGATCAGATGTATAAATAAAAAATGAAAGAAAACCCACATGCGTTTCTTAAGGCTTAACTACTTACCAAACAGCAAAGGAGATCGATGCTTGATATAAAGTGTGGCGTTCCTGTGAAATCTATAAATATATCTAAAGACAATTAGGCTGTGATATTATCCTCTGGCGATCACAGTTGCAATGACGACGCCTCCCCCCCATCAGGACGATGATGGCGCCCTTGTTGGAGCCAACGTCCTCTGCGAAGAAGACCTGGCCTCTGAAGGGCAGAGCACCGTTTATACACTTTTACTTGTTTACCAAATGTTACTTTCCTGTGCATGCTCAACTTAACCATGCTGTAAAGGATTTGGTGGAAAAAATGACACCAGAAAATCCAGTGTTTGGTAACCTTCAAAGGCAGCTTAATTAACAACCAGTAAACCTATGTTCAATCCAATATCTTTTTATTAAATACAACATATTTGTGACATGTAGGAGGTACACAACATGGACAGCATTCACTTGGCCACTTCGTCATGCGTGGGGTCTGGAAAACAAAACAAGAAGAAAAAATCATGAGCGATAGTTGGTCGAGATTTTTGAAATAATTAAATTAAATTGTTGTAAGCACTAAAAGCATCACATATATGTCATTGAAGATAAAAGGAGACAAAAACAGTCTTACCTGTGAATTTTAATACAGGGAAGTTGTCGAGGTCCCCTCCGCCATAAAGCCTCTGCAGCTTGAAAATCTCATCGGAAACGTTCTTATCGTAGGAGGCATCTCCGTCCACAACCCCACCAGACGCCCTGGAACAGCCAAGGCAAATCACATTATGTTCACAAGATGAGCGTGATCAACAGCGATGACTGGAGGAGATACCATTTAAATAAATAGGCAACAAGGGCTGAAATTAAATTGCATGTTGAGAAGGACAAATATGCTTGTGTCTGATCAGTGAAATCTAATACTGGACAAAGTATGGGTGTAGGTCATGGGGCTGTGTAAAATCGACTTACCTGCTCTTGGTTTTGTAGGCCCGGATCTTGTCCAGGAACAGTTTCTGGATGGGGTCGAGGTCCTTGGCCCGGTTGAAGACCACAGCAGAGAGGCCGATGTTCCTGCGCAGGGTCAGGCTCACGGAGGAGCGCAGCACGGAGGACAGCTGGAACAATCTGTGAAGTGCCATCTGAGGGAACAAACAGCCTGGGGTTAAATCTGGATGTGATTCAGTCTGTTTCATATTAGTAGGAATTGCATAGCCTGAAATTACATTATGGAGAAACGTACAACTCAAAAGGGACTTGAAACGATATCCTGGTTAAAATGTTGACATGCTTTATTAAAGGATTGTATTAAACTTTACAGAAATGGTCATCTACTGAATTTAAGATGGAATGTAACATTGAAGTGTCTGTGTACAACTTTGAGGTACTTTTACTATAATTGAGTATTTCAATTTAAGGCTTCTTAAACTATTTCTACGGTGTGGTATAAGTACTTATACTCGGGTAAATAATGAGTACAGCCTTCCAATATAGCTATAGCTAAGCAGCGCTAGCATGATAGAATCTAATTTAGCATCCATTAACTTCTGTTGTACACATCGGAGGTTCTGGTGAATGAGGCTGATAGCTACACATTTAACAGCTGTGACTTGTTAAACACTTGCTTACATAAGTATTGTCACAACGACGTCGAGCACCATTGGTTTATCATTGACTTATTGCGAACTAATGCCAACATGCTAAAATAGCGTTAGCTTAGGAGACTTTCAAACCGTGTCCTTCTCTCGTTTATTGTGTTGCAGCAAGTCCCGCTAACATTATACTCTCCAATTAAACAAACAATTAAACAAACAGACATTAATCAGCATGTAGAGTCATGACATATAGCGTAAAAGTAAAAGGTTAATAGTGTATATCAAGAAGCAGCACTCACCTTGGATTTGACACTTTGAGTAGTATATCCGAATGTGGAAGACCGCGGTGGATTGTGGGAAGTCGTGTGGCGCTCGAGGACGTCAGAAAGGCGCCTTGTTTGCGCAGCGCTGCGCATATTTAGGTGACCTCAAATGACAGCAAATGTATTCCAAAAATAGTTTATTTAGAGGTTAAATTATTAAATGTCATCAGCTGTAGCTGTTTGCCTTGTGATAAACACGTCAGAAGGTCATTGTATGGAGTATTGTTGAATCGTTTGTTCAATCTTAACTATTTTGACTTTTATCTCTGCAATTTCAGATTTCCCTAAATGTTAATTTTATTATTATGTAATGATGCATTGATGTATGGAGCAAACACTTTTCACCAATACATTAATAATTGTACTCGGCTTGTTAAATGGATTGTAGTTCAACCCCTTGATCTTAACATTTCATTTTATTATTATCCTTCTCTTTTCTTTTCTCTTCACTATTATCTGTAAAGCGTCTTTGAGGACCTGTAAAAGCGCTAACAAATTAAATCCATTATTATTATTATTATTATTGAATACATCATTTACATATAGGGTTTGCAATCGTTTTGTTTCAGTTTAATGCAAACTACTCTAACCTTTGGCGAAATGACCTCACTTAATTTGTGTCATTATGCCCTCTATGTCCTTCAGCCGGAAATACTGAATAATAAGTCAACTGAATAATAAGTCAACAGAATCAAATACATCACATAGTTGGCGGAACTCCTTTAAAATGTGTTATTTTAAATGGCACTCGGAGGACTGGCAAAAATAAATAAGCACAGCATTAAATGTTGTATTACATTGCAATGGATTATTGTGCAGTATTGTGTGTGCTCCTATAAAATAAACTCCTGTCAACAATGCAACAACTGATCTCTGAAGGCAATGCGGCATTCACATGATATACAGTGACCTTATTTTCATGTTCATTCAATAAAGGTTTATCTTATCTAATATATATTATACAATAAAAACCTCGGACAGAGCATCTGTATGTACATTCAAAACTTTATTATGGAATACAGTGTAGAAAGCGTTTTCCCAGTAGATGCAAATGGCCTGCACAATATTACAGTGGAAAACAAAACCAATATAATATAACCCCACAGAGAAGGAAAAAAAAAACAATAGAAAGAAAATCCTGCTTCCTCGTCTACTCTACTGCCCTCTGCTGGGCGTCTCATGAGCACACTGTGAAAACCAAAGGACCCACCCCACTGCAGCCTTCATAAAAACCCACCATCTCCTCACTGCGTTTCTTTCAATGTAATGTTAACATGGGGACAAACCTTTAGTATGACTGTATGGAGATGAACGGGAGATTGTTTTATTCCCTGACTTGCTGTAATCTCTCTCAATGCCCATCATATGTATACAGGCGACAGTAAGGAGTGTGTTGATGGTAAAGCATGCCTGAAGGAAAGGGAAGGGGAAGGGAGGGAGGAAGGAAGGAGAGGAGTGAAAATCCATTATATATATATGCAGGCCAGGCTATTCAACCGTAACTGCAAGTCATTCCCTCTCTTCCTCACCTCCTCTCAGCTCTCCACTTATTCTATCAGCAAGAATCATTACAAAATAAAAGACGGTGTTGGCTTACAACTGGACGAAACACCAGACTGAAAATGACAAAACACACACGTAATCCCATAGCCCATCCCCCATGCCGGATACCTCCCGTTTATTTTTCAATTTCCCGTCCCTGTCACCTTCACACCCACAACATGCCCCTTTCACACTAACAACATAACATGAATTCAACAAAAAATGATGCATAAGGATCAATATATCTCCGTGGAAACGCAAACAGAGATGAAGCGTCGGGAACAAAGAAAAAAGACAAGAAAAACACACTTAAATCCCAAAATCACAGATCTCTTTTTAAATGTGTATTTTCCATGATATCAAAGCAGAGCCCGTTCATCTAGATTTATATATATTTTTCATCGTTTGAAGTCACGTGATCACGAGAAGATACTAAATGTACAATCTTGCTAGAATGACAATCTATATGTGAGAAATGATCTCAGGAGAGAGCAGCGTTAAGATCTGTTTGTGTGTTTTTTTCCGAATCCTGTTGTCATGCACTACATAGGAACAGCTAAGACTTCAGCATTACTTCAGTAACATTACACGCAATTTAAAAAAAGGACTTTACATATTTTTTTTTTTAATCCTCTGTTTTCTTCAATCTTTTTTGAAAAACAAAACTGGAAACTAAAAGAGAAAAATAAAAAAAACAGCTCATTCAGAATACATAACTACTACCGTCGTCAGCATACTCTTTAATATCAGCGTCTCTGAATATCCTTAAGAGCCTCGTGTGACTTAACACAGCCCAGCTGTCGTAAAAATTAAAAGAAAATGGAGGGAGGAGGAGGAGGAAGAGGAGGAGGGGGGGGATACTCCAGTGTAGACTGTAGAGTGAGTGCAGTAGTGAGGGGCTTCATTTAGAAAAATATCTTTGATTTAAGCCTATATTTTATTATGTATAATCAGTAAAAAGAATATGAGACAACTAATGATGTGGCTCTTTTTTCTAAATGAAGCCCAGGGTCAGCATGCGTCTTAAATCCCACTGATCAGAGGTCAGATTCTCCACACCTCGGACACTGAAGAACCCAACAACACACCAACCCTGAATCAGTGGGGAGAGAAAGCGCTCCTTTCCCCAACGGGTGGGTTTGTTTCTCTGCACTGGGCGGGCCTTCTTTTATATCATACATCAGCAGGCCAAGGCGGAGCTACATAAAAACACGGGGCTTTGATTAAAAGGCGTCTCGCTCCGATGACGTGAACGAACGCGGTCCCGCCCAGGAGGGAACGCAAGGAACCCCTGGCTACAGTCGCTCCGTTTGATCGTCGTAACTGACTATTTCAGTCACAATGACCTGCCTTATTTGGAGACATAGGGGAGGAAGGAGAGAGGGGAGGTGTTTGATGTGTGGGAGGAGATGTGTGTGTGTGTGTGTGTTAAATGTGTGTGACATTCTCCTCAGTTCTGCATCTGCTCGAAGAACTTGTAGGTCGGGTTCTCGTAGCCGTTCTGCTGCATCTTGGACAGGTGGCGCTCCTCGGGGGTGACGGCCGCGTCCACCTGGAAGGGAGCCAAAAGAGGGGGGGGGGGAGGGCGGTTAGACATATACACACACACATTGGAAATCTACATTTTAAGAGCATTTGAATGCTTTCCTGGAAGTGTTTTTGTATAGTAATTGGCAAAAATAGAGTAACAAAGCTGCGACAGCTACCGTATTCTTAAATTGAACAGATGATAATAAA